TATTTGCTCAGGATGTGATTGTTAAAAAATGCAATCTCACGTCTGAAACTTTAAAAAAAAAAAAAATTACAGCTCATAATAAATAATTTTATCTTGGAATTAGATATCTGTGATCTAAACTTGTATTGCATGGTTCAATGAGGAGCTAGACTTTATTGTAAAAAAAAAAAAAATGTTCTCTGCACTCCTAGAGAAACTGCAACAGTACGAGAAATTTGTAATGGAATTTTAAGATAAAGCATCTTAAACCATGTTTTTTGAAATTTAAACAAAAACTACTAGAGAGTAATGTTGAAGCTCTGTATAAATATAACTACAGCCATGCCATTAGAAGTTCATTTATCTGTCCGCATATTTAGAATTCGTAGCGGTTTTGTTATCTAAGAGCAAGATATAGGGAGTGTGTGAATGGAGATAAATCTTTTATAATTTGTTCATAAATTTTAGTTAGCAGCTTATTTATACAGTCTATTATAGATACTTTTAGTATAACAACGATACATAGATGCTAGTGATTAACAACTAATGTTAGTTATTAGCAAATTTAAGAGAAAAGAAGTTTCAAAATCTGATATTTATTTTAGTAACTGAAGAGAATGACGATACTACGAGCCTACTTGAGATTGTTTCTCGAAAGCCTAAAAGCTTTTTCATGAAACACTTTGATATAAAGTCAATAAAGAAAACAAATTAAAAGACTGAAAAGAAGAAAAAAAATGGTCGTAACTTCAAAGCTTTACTGAAAAGAAGAATGAATACATATATATATATATATATATAAATGGTCGTAACTTCGATGCTCTACTGAAAAGAAGAATGAATATATATATATATATAACACAAAAACTACACTCCTTTAAATAGACAAACCCTATATGTTACATAAAATATTAAACATCCAACGATATAAGATAAACCTAATATTTAACTTTCTTAATATGACAGCACTTGACCTCTCGTATCAAATTTTATGAGTGGTAGTTGTACAACTCTTGAACGCTTTCATTTCAAACAAAGTATAGTTGTATTCAGTCAATTCGAAGTAGACCGGAAAGGATTAGCAGGTACGGTTAGATTGTCACCTTCTCCTTCTAACATTTGAATAACCACTTTCATGGAAGGGCGATCTATGGGGTGCCATTGGACGCACCATAGACCCACAATAGCTAGCTTCTTTGCAGTTTCAGCATCTCCTCCGTTCTCAATGTGAATCCGTAGGTCGTCCCCTTGTTCTAAAAGGTTGTAAATCCATTCTGGGAAGTAGACTTGGCTACTGGTGGAGTCCTCTTCCATGAACTTAAAGTTCTTTCTTCCCCCGACCATTTCCAGCAGCAACATTCCAAAGCTATAGACATCTGACTTGTAGGACACGTTTCCAAAGTTCCTAGAGAACACTTCGGGCGCAATGTAGCCAATGGTCCCTCTGATGGTAGTCATGGATACTGCGCTTTGATCTTTAGAGCACAACTTGGCGAGACCAAAATCGGAAACCTTTGGGGTGAAATTCTGGTCTAGCAAAATGTTGTGTGGTTTGATATCGAAATGGAGGATTCGGAGGTCACACCCTTGATGAAGATATTCAATTCCTTTGGCTATACCTAAAGTAATCTCATGCACCTTATCCCAACCAAGGAAAGCGCTTTTACTATCTGCTGATGATAAGATATTCTGTAGTGAACCATTTGGTAGATATTCATACACAAGAGCAGTTGTGTACCCATCAGCACAAAAACCAACCAAGCGAACCACATTGACATGGTGGACTCGACCCATTGTTCGGACTTCATTGATAAAATCTTCTCCTTTTTCATTAGAATTGTTGAGGATTTTCACAGCCACAACTAAGTCGGAGGAAAGCTGTCCTTTGTACACTGTTCCATAGGCTCCTTGACCTAACTTTTCATTGAATTGATTTGTTATCCTTTTAATATCAGCGTAGGAATATCTACTTGGCTTGTGTGCTATGTAATCGTCCAAAAATCTTTCAATCCTCAACTGATTTGTTTTCTCTATTTTGTTGGAGCTATAAACACGGTAAATGAGAGTCCCCACGACTGTTACAACCACAGAAAGTGTGAAAATACCTGCGGATACAGACGAAACTCTGCGTTAAAAACCAACTCATTTCTAAATTAAATTAAAATAAATCACAATTGCGTCCAATTGATAAAGCCCCCAGAAATCAGAATTGAATTTATATTAATACTTATACATATATAGGGTTCTTTTGTGCGGAAGTTAACGTGTCTTTTATCCGGATGCTGGCACTGAGTTTTGAACTCGTATTGAACTCGTAAGGTTTTCTTGTACCTTAAAAGAAGAACCCATTCAAGGATGGGATCCAAAACTTGAAAAACAAGTGATGAAAATTGGTGCCTGTTGAAGCAAGTTCCGACTAGCACCCTAAAATATAACACTCGCATGAGGTTCAATAATCCAAACTGTCTTAGATTTAGCTCTCCATCTAAGAATATTTATGATTATGGATCGTACAAGTGTGCAATAATTAACCTAGCTAACTCTTAGCAGTTCAAATTCAATCTTGTAAAAATATTGCTTATGTGAACAACTTACCAGATATCTCTAAGCTTGTCCTTCCACGGGTACTATCTGTAAAAGCAGGTCCATTAAGTCAATAATTAGTACTTTTGTTATCAAAAGAATAAAATACTTGAAGAATTGTTTGCATAATCTTTGTTTTCATTTAATATAAAAAGTTCGAATATATTCTTTGAGTCCAAATTTGTTGCATATATTATCTGCACAAACTAGCTAATTAAAACCTTGTCAATTTGAAAATGAGGGAAATATTTGCCGGCAAAGTACTGCAACAAGTCAAGTTAAATGGGAGATTAAAGGATACCTTCGCTCACGCATTCAGTTTCTGCAGTCTGATTATCTGTGAAATTATATTGACCAATGGTTCTCTTCAGTCTGCAAGTCTTGCCCATCTCTTCGCAACGTCCACATGATGGTTTGGACCACTTCAGCATCATAAGGTCGAATGCTGTCACTGATGAAATATATGGAACTGATATGTAGTCACGCAGCTTGGTACAAGACACTAGGGTCGTATAATCAATGGAATACCGGCCGTTGACAGCATAGTAGTTAGTTTGGTTTTCAGGATTGTCAAGGCCGGAAGGGCACAGTTTGATAAGAGGATATCTGTCTCTTTCAAGTAGTGGTGACGGACAACTGAATAAAGTATAATTAGTATCAAACTGTCTATGCACAAATTGAAAGGTTGAGGAAGATAGGCTGAAATTGAAAATATCTTTAGGCGGGCAATCATTTTGGAAATATACTCCGATTTCTTGAGAAGCGTAGTTAATCGTTTCAACGATGAGCTTGTTAGATGAGGATGGCATCTCAAGCACGGTTTGCGTGCCGTTGGTGCATGATAGATCAAAGTCATGGTAACCGCACTGGAATGGCTGTCCTTTAAGCCGAAATGGGAATCGGATGGCTGGACCGTGGTGTTCACAACTTACTTCTGTGCAGTTTTCAGGGACTACTCTGTCGCCATACACTTTGCTTACAATACCAGCATCTGCTATCATGAGAAACCAGCACAAGAAATTGATCAGAAGCATTCTATCCAATGAGAATATTGATTGTAGAAGTTTGGTATCTTGGTAATTCATATATATGATTGTACATAAGATAATGGGATTGCAGAAGTCCCCTATGTTTTGGGTAAATAATAATCTCTTTTTATATTCACCCCTTCGTTCCATTTCCTACCCCAAAAATGTTTTTCTAAATTTTTTAAATCTTCCACCAATTTTGTTTTTAACTTCAATTTGAAGGACTTGGTCGTGATTTGCTTATGGGTTATTGACCGTCGTTATCAAATAAAAACTTTTAGTCGCTTTTATTTAACTGTTACTTGCTATAACGGGAAACTGGGATGCTGGAAACTGTTTCTTCCCCAAATGGGCCAGATCAACCCATTATTATACATGTTATTCTGAGTTAGATGAGGTGGGTTCTGTGGTCGTGTGGCTTCAATATTGGTCATTCTACATTGAGTAATGCTAGGTAGATTAAATTTGTAAACTAAATTTACAAACTAAACAATGTTTCATCAATAAAAAAAAATAAGCATGTTAATCTACACTTTAGTAATAATCCAATTATCAACTTCTTTGTCATTGAGTTTACAAAATTTATTCTACAAATTAATTTATTCTCTCTAGCATTACCCTCCTAGAATTTGAAGTTGTCGGTATAGTTTGGTTGTGCAAATTTTTCCTCTTTAGTTTAGTGTTGTTGTTGTTTGTTGGAATTAGTATTGATGAGACTTGTGTTTTGATTCTTTTGAATACGTCTTTAATGTATTATTAAAGTTTTTGCAATAACCATGGTTGTTATGTTGAAAAATTTGTTTATTAAAATGTTTTTTTTTTTCATTCAATAAAAGAAAAAGGGGTAAGTGATTTTTACACACGATTTTTCTTCTCCTACGTACACACGTATATGTACATTTCTGGCCTTTAAAAATAAGAAAGAGTGCAGAAAAAGAAAAGAGAGTGTGTGGGAAAAAAAAATTATATATATATATATATATTTTAAAGAGAGTTAAAATGCTACATGTTATAAATTTATTGGGCCAGCACAAGCCCTCTCCTTCTCCGGCGACCATCTCCATGCCTATCAGGACCACAAGTGTACAAATTGGGCCACAGGTGTACCCACCGGGGATAATACTTGGGTCCTGACATATGAGGACCACAAGTGTACTGACCACTGACATGGTCCAATAATATAAAGATATCTGTAATTTTAAAGGGATTTTAACGAAAAACTCACAGTACGGTTTACTTTAACGAAAAACTATATTTTTACACTAAAAAGTTAATCCTGCTATTATTCATTTTACCTTTTATTTTATTCTTATCATTAAAACTCAAAATTTTCAAATCATTTTCATTATAATTTTAAAGTACCAGTATTCTAGTAACCAAACATCTTTAAGGCCATAACCAAACACCATCCTAAACTCATAACCCATAACCAACCTCCAGATTTCCTCGTCAGTCGTCGTCGACCGATACCACACCTTTTCACCGCCTTCCCTCCCCAGCATCTCTCTCTCAAAGTCTGCAATTCCTTTGAACGTCAAAGTTCCAAACCTCTTGTCTTCCAGAACCTCCAATTTTGCGGATTTCCATAACCCAATTTTACCGAGCTCAGATCTGGACGCCGGCGAGGGATTGAAACTGACGTCGCCGGAGAAAAGAGGGATTGGGAGTGGTCGGGAATGAGAGTAGGTCGCCGGAGAAGTAACGGACTGCGGGGGTTGCTGGAGAAAGAAGGGTTGAGGAAGACGGCAGGGTGATTGGTTACAAGAAAAAGCAAGTGTTTGATTGAGTTTCACTTGACAGGTGGAACAATTTTATTGGACCACATAAGTGGTCAGCTTGTCAGTGTTATCCTAGTTTTACTCGTCTCGTGGGTTTGTCTTTGCTTCGTTTGTCATAAATAATGGGCTCCAAGCGGCCAATTTATATCTGAGTTCGCCCTCTTCTTGCCACAAGCCAAAAACCCTTGCTCCCCTTAAGCTTTTTTGCCAATTTTGATACATTTATATTCTCTTTTACCATGTGTAGAGGAAGTCTCTTACTAGTTCCATATGGAGCCCTTCTTCTACTCTTTCTTCTTCCCTTTATTTGTTCCCAAACATCGATACCTGAAAATAATTCTGATTGTACTCTTTCTTGTGGCAATATTGGCATAAGCTCTCCATTTCGGTTAAAGGGAGACCCTCAACACTGCGGCAACCGTACGTATGAGCTAACTTGTGAGGAAAATGTTACGGTCCTGTACTTGTATAACCGAAAGTTTTACGCCAAGGCGATCAATTACAATAACTTTACAATCCGTGTTGTGGATGCTGCTGTTCAAAAGAAAGATAACTACTACTCCATCCCGCGTTACTCCTTAACCCCATCCAACTTTAGTTATCCGAATCCTTACAGCAATTATCTACCCCGACTGACGTGGAGTTCAAATAGACCGGACGCAAGTTCTAGTTACACGACATGGCCTATAATTTTTATGGACTGTCCAAAACCGATGCATTCTCCTGGCCTTGTAGAAACAGCTCCATGCGTCAAGGACGGCACCTACTCTTCCAATTCTTCTTTGTCCAATGGTTTAAGAATGTTTTCTTATTCCATCCTTGGCTGGAAAGGCTCCATAAGTTCATTGGATTTGGGGGAGTCCTGTGAAATAACGCAGATGCTTATGGTCTCACCTTCGTTATCCGTAGAAGACATGCATGAACACTTGACGTCCTGTGAAGGCATATATAGTGAAATAGCGCATGGCTTCGAGCTTTCATGGTTTTACCAGGCTTGTAGCACCTCAAACTGCAGAGAGTGTGTGCTCAACAACGTGAGCAAAATTGAGTGCCTTCGCTACGAAGGTAGCTAGCATTCTCCTATGATATTAATTTTCACCCTTTTTTTCTCTTAATAGTAAATAATATATGATCCTTTAGAGGAAAAATAATATATATGATCCTTAATGATGATTCTTCTTCTTTTGCACTGCAGGACATTGGTTCGCCAATATCTTGCTGTCCATACTAGAGGTACTAGGCAAGTGGTTTACTCTCTAACGCAGCTTCTATGTAATACATGTGTAGTTAGTTTCTTTATTTGTGGTCACCTTGATGTTTATTAAACTTAAATTACATTTGGAAACCATGATTGATATTCATCCGCTATGGTCAGTTTATTCCTACGGACGGTTTCGTACCAGATGTAACTGTGGCCTCTCTCCTAGGTAGTGTGAACTACTCGTACTCAGCTATCATGCAACTTTCTAGCTTCAGATACTCATCATTCAAAAATGAATGTTTGATGATCACTTTGTTTTTGTTTTCATTCTTATTATTATGTTTTAGTTAAGGGTTGCTGGGGAATATGGAAGAATATATATGAGAAAGATGTGAAAAGGACAGGGAGGATCGAGGTGGATAGAGAAATTGTTATTGTCTTTGAAACAATCTCAAAGAGTTTTCCAATAATTTTTTGTTTCATAAATTCTCCATTTCTCCTTCATCCCCCACCCCCATCCCCATATCTTCTTTCTACAATTTCCCCTCGCCTTTTTTTCCTCTCTCTTTTTAGATTAAAAATTAAAACTAAAGGATTACCAAACAGTCGCTTAATTAATGAAAAATATTGTTGCACTAAAGGAACAAGTTTGATGATATTACAGCAATCAATCTATTTGGTGACTCCAATGTTTTTGAAACGTGCAGGACTATTCCAAGTAGTCAAATTTTTATTTGGCTTTCCCTGTTTAATTGCATTAATAGTATACAAATGCAAAAGGAGGCACTTGTCCATGTATGAAAATATAGAAGACTTTCTGCAGAATAATCAGCTCATGCCAGTAAGGTACTCTTACTCGGACATAAAAAAGATGGCCAGAGGTTTTAAGGACAAGTTAGGGGAAGGTGGCTTTGGTTCTGTGTACAAGGCAAAGCTTCGCAGTGGCCGTCTTGTAGCCATCAAGATGTTGGGCAAGTCGAAAGCCAACGGGCAGGATTTTATCAATGAAGTTGCTACCATCGGAAGGATTCACCATGTTAACGTGGTGCAACTTGTTGGTTTTTGTGTGGAGGGTTCAAAGCGTGCTCTTGTATATGACTTCATGCCTAATGGGTCTCTTGATAAGCACATATTTTCTCAACAAGGAGTTATCTCCTTAAGTTGCGAGAAAATGTTTGAAATCTCACTTGGAGTGGCTCGTGGTATTGAATATTTGCATCGAGGATGTGACATGCAAATTTTGCACTTCGACATCAAGCCTCACAACATTCTTCTCGATGAGAACTTTCTTCCGAAGGTTTCAGATTTTGGGTTAGCAAGGCTATGCCCATTGGATAATAGCATTGTGTCTTTGACTGCAGCGAGAGGAACCATCGGATACATGGCTCCAGAGTTATTCTACAAAAACATTGGAGGTGTTTCGTACAAAGCTGATGTCTATAGTTTTGGGATGCTACTGATGGAAATGGCTGGAAAAAGAAAGAACTTAAACGCAAATATAGAACACTCGAGCCAAATATACTTTCCGACGTGGGTTTTCAACCAGCTGAGTGGAGGAAATGACCTTACAATCGGAGACGCCACAGAGGAGGAAAAGAAAATCATTAAGAAGATGATCATTGTGGCATCGTGGTGCATACAAATGAAGCCTAGCGACCGTCCTTCTATGAATAAAGTTGTAGAGATGCTTGAAGGAGAAATTGAGAGCCTTCAAATGCCGCCAAAGCTTTTCTTATACCCACAACAAGTGCCAGAGGTGGTTACTGGCGGCAGTTCAAGTACCGCATCAGCTGCATCGAGGACAACGACAACATCTACAGAAATTGTTTTGATTGCAGATGAAAATTCAGAGAGTTAATATAGCTAGTAGCAATGTTAATGTGCAAAGGAACGTTTAGTGTACCCAATAAGCACAAATAGACTACTTGAATTTAATGGCATTTGCTTTCTGGTTTTCAGTTTTCAGCTTTGGATATATAATTTGTGTATGAGCAAAGTTCGATATCTATATATTATGCTTCTGTGACCGTCCAGATTCCAGATCCTAATTCCCTGCGCGGTGAAAAGTGCAGCCATTATTCAAAGTCTAATTTATTGTTTTTGCCATACTTGTAGCTGGACTAAGCATTGCATCCAACGTTGTGCGTTCAATTCCCTTCCCTCGATATCGCTTGTAAAAAATGACAATGTTTTTAGACACAAAAGAAGTGAAACATGTGTCGAAAGAAACTCGAGCTACCACACTCCTCACTGCCTCATTAGGAAAAGAAGAGGGATTTTAGACACAAGTGAACAGGGCAAACTAAACTAGAAATGCAGGGCACAGTGAAAAATTATATACCCTTGCATCTTTTAGTACGATTGACGGAATTAAGAAATTTGGCTAAAATTAACAACGAACATTTAAGCTGATTCACTAAGAATTCCTACAAATCGTATTACCCCCAAAACCGCTCAATTGGCCTCCTTCCATTTAAGCTAATTTAATCTACAGTAGTTTGTATATAACCGAGAAAATTTCACAAGCTCAAACTGCCTACATGCTTTCAAACACTATCACGAAAAACAGGCAACGATTAGAGCTCCCATTTGCTAAACCTCTGTAATCTTAAGGATCTTCGGATTCTTCATCCTTATCTTCTGCATTGTCCCGCCACCTAACTGGCCCAGACCATTATAATCAATTGTTCCCTACAAAATACAAAACTTTGCTTGGAGGATCATAGAATTCATCGCAATCAACTAGCCTAAAGACACCCCAAGTTAATTTGAACAAAGATTTAGAGCACTGTGACGATAAAAATTAGAGTTACTCTTTACGAAGGAATTAGCACGTGTTTTAAGTTTTAACAAAAGCAAAAGTTTCACAAAGCAGCATTTTTACAATTGTTCATTGCCTTTGGAAAATTGAAAAGTAAAGAACAAGATCAAGTGATGCTACATCTAGATGCACATCCAGTCATATGATAAAGTTCAGAGCAAAAACTTACAGTAACCAACATAGGAGCAAATGGTTTCGCGTCTTCTGGCTGTTCAACTGGAATTGGTGGATAGTTCGCACTTTGAACTAGGACTCTTGACTGCTATTCAGAACTAAAAGTTTGCATACATGTAGACACCAGAAAGTTGAGTAGCTGTGGATAAATTAAACCGTAAAGATATGTACCTCATCTGTCCACTCAAGAGCAAGATCATCTGCATCAGGACACTTCCCTATCCCTGTATTCCACAGTATAGCGAAACCACATATTCAAGTAATTCAAACAATGGACATATGAACAAGAATCCATCAAGGAAGACATAGAAGGGGCGGTCCTCAGGCATGAGATGGATGGAGATGGCAAAAGATGTACTGGTACATAAATGTCATAAAAAATCCAAGGGACACTGCCAGTTAAAGATTGAAAATCACACTATGGACATGGAGTAGGAGTTTGTCAATGCATTGCTGCACATGGTTCATATGTAGTGAGAATTACTTGCACCAAAGACAACCTAAGAAGTAAATGAAACCCACGAATAGATCATTATATATAAACATAAGATCATTAGATCACAACTTTTAGTAGTAGCTAATTAAAATGAAGAGTGCAATGAGAATTAAGAGAAAATCCCACCTTCAGCTGCTAAGAGCAAACTAGAATTCATCATCTGGCACAAATCCCCTTTGAAGCATTTCATCATGGAACCAAAATGCCTCCTTCAAATTGTCCTTGGTCACATGTCCATTTATCATTGACATATAAGTGGATCTATCAGGTTTTACACCTTTCTCAATCATCTTCCGCAATACTAGCTCAGCTTTGCGCATTCTACCTTGCCAACAGAACCCATTTAGAATTATATTGTATGTAAACTGATCCGACAATATCCCTTGCTTTTCCATTTCCTTAACTGAGGAAAAAGCTTTGTCCAGATTCTCTTCTTTTAAATAACCATTAATCAAAGTGTTGTAAGCAATACTGTCAGGGACAATTCCTCTTGAAATCATTTTGACTATAAAAACTCATCCGCCTTTGTTGTGTCACCAGAGCGGCAATAACCTTTAATGACAGTGTTACAAGTAACTAGAGTGGGTTTGATACCTTCTTCAATCATCTGGTCCCATAAACTCAACGCCTCATGCACGTTCCCCATGCTACAAAATCCATTGATTAGAATGCCATATGAAATGTGATTGGGTAGTATCCTTCTTGAAACCATGTCACCCCATAACTCCTTAGCTTTATCCATTCCACCTAGTTTGCAGAAGCCATCAAACAATGTGTTGTATGTGACTATATCAGGCTTAATATTTCTTTTTGTCATTGCATCAAACAGATTAAGAGATTTAGTCAAATTCCCATGCTTGCAATAACCATAAATGAGTGTTGTGAAAGTATAAAAACCAGGAATGACACCCCTTTCCACCATTTCATTGAAAAAACTCATCTGTATCAGAAAGCATCCTCTCCCAACACAGTCCATTTAAAATTTTATTGAACGTTACCACATCAATAGCACAACCTTGCTCAAGCATTTCATCATGCAACTTCAAAACCTCTAACATCATTCCCTTTCTACAATATCCATCTATAAGGATAGTGTAGATCACATTATCTGGAACCAAGCCTGCCCTTTTCATATCTCGAAAATATACTAATGCACGATCAATATTTTTATTCCTCGAAAAAAACCCAATGAGTGAACTGAAACTAACTATATCAGGAACAACACCTATGTGACATTTCATGGAAGATTTCCTCAGCCTCTAAAATATCATCTTTTCTACAGCTCTCAACAAGCATTGGATTATACGTAGTAGTATCAGGATTCAACCACCTTGCAACATTTCATACAAAAGTTCCTTTGCTCTATCATAATTTCGTACTTTACATAAGTCATTTATGATAGCATTGTACGTGAAAAGCTCAGGTTTCAACCCCTTAGAAGACATAAGAGTTTTTTAACTGAAAAGCTTCTTCAAGAAGCCCTTTACGACAATATGCATTGATTAGAGTATTATATGTCACAATATCTGAAAACACCCCCTTCTCTTCCATATCTGATGAGAAGAATTTAACGCTATCAATTTTGCGAGCTTTGCATAAGGCATTGACCATTATATTTAGTGTATAAACATTTAACTAAATCCCACTGCTAACAACTTCCCCATATATGACCCATGCCAAATCAATCCACCCGACCTTCACAAGCCCACCAAGAAGACTATTGCAAGCATTTATCAAAACACAAACTCCCTCGCTTCTAAACACCTGAAATGCCTCAAATCCTTCTCTCAACTTCTTAGCCTGCAAATAAGTTCTAACAAACAGATCAAATACCAAAGAACTTGAGCCGCAACTGCTATAAGTTGAAACCAAAGAGTCTGCTACTTCAACACGAGAAATGCCACTCTTTCTAACCATTCTAAGAATCAGAGCTTGTGCATCCGACACTGTTCGACCACGCACCAACATGTGAATCATTGCACTCAAAGACAGTGACGAATGCTTAAAATCAGGACTATTTAACAGAATCAAATCAATAAACTTCAGGCCCAGTTGCAAATTTTCGCGGCAGCAAGAAAGAACAACAACAATAAGAGACGGGTTTAACCGACACAGAAAGCTGCGCAAAGAGGTGAGGTTACCTTGCTTCAGACCTAATAAAATATTTTCCACCAAAAGAGAATCTGATAAAGAAGCTGATGAAAACAGTTCTTGGCTTGTACTACTACAGGGTTCTTGTGATTGCATACTTTTAAGACCAAGTTCCAGGTCATTTGATGGACAATATGCTAAAGAATGAGGTCTATGAGAGTGAAAGAGTGAGTGTTTTGTGAAGGTTGGGCGGGTTCTCGGACCTACATTTCTCAAAATTAGCCAATTGGTTCGCATGTTTGAAACTATAGTTATAGCCATTGAGGAATGAATTCAGAATTAAAAAATATGTGGGATGCTTGGGGGCTGAAAGGGCCTGTCTACTGATTTAAAGTTCATTCCAGTTCGGCTTGGTTAGGTCCCAAACCAAGAACCAGTACCAAACAGTTGGTAGGCCATAGAGTTGAACCGGAAACTAAGAACCGAAAACTTGGACCTGCAATAGACTGACCGTATACTGAAATTTGAAGTGCGGTCTGGTCTCATTGAATTATATCCTCATTTGTAGCAGGTTGATCCTGAAAAAAGCAAATAGCATTGATCAACATTGAAACAAAACAATAGAACGAAAATACTTCTCCGTGAAAAACAGAGGAAAATGAGAATAGCAGTTCAACAGACATTGGATTGCAACGAGAATCTCCCAAAATGGGCAGAACGATTCGAACAGACGATTAATTCATTACAAAAAATGATCATCCAGATTAAAAAACGTTATAGGTACTATTATTTAATCTAAATTTCCATGCTTGTTCCTAAATTCTAAGATATTTTATCAAAAATTACACTAACGGCACACAGTTAGTTGCAAGATATTTCAGCCAAATCTTGTTCCTGATATTTTAAGAATCACGGAAAGTAGAAAAAAAATCATGAAATCTGAAGTTTACCTCAGTGATCGGGTGGACCAACACCAACGGCGGCGACAGGAAGTGAGCGTAGCGAACGATGGGCTATCAGGGAGTGGATGACGACTCCAAGAGTTCGAGCTTCAATAGAAACCTTCAATGGAAGAAGAGGATGAGTTCAGATGAGAGGTTGAGAGGAACAGGAGGATTCTGGTGGCTGTTAATGGCGGAATCTGGTGGTTGTAACGTTGAGAGAGAGAGAGGCAGTGGGCGGGAGAGGATTCAGAGAGAGAAAGCGGTCGACGGAGAAGGTTTAGTAGTCAGTTCATCTCCTAATGATCTCTCCCTCCTAATCTCTCTTTTTCTCGTCCGTAGTCATATCAACATCTTATCCTCATTTTTTTTAAAGAGATATTAAAACATAAATAATGTGTGAAATAAGAAGAGATAAGGGAATGAGAAACTTCCAGAATTATAGCCATGCCCAACCATCTCTCACCGAACCGAACGGTTAATAACTATTAATTTAAAATTTAGACTTTAAATTTATTAGCTAGTTTAATTAAATTATCGTTAGATGATTTCAAATCTAATGGTTGAAATTGAATCAATTATTACAACTGAAGAGCTGGCCCTACAAAAAGGACTAGGAGGGGGCTACATATGACGAGCTTGATGCTTCTTTAACCAAAAAATAGCTTGGTAGGTTCGATAGAGTTATAGTCCTGTCATCGGTTGGAGATGAATTTTTAGACAGATCAGGTCTTTCTTGGTTTTTTAAACCTTTAGCATTCTCCATTGAAAATAACCTTAAAAACAAACACATGGTAACTTAGACCTACAGATAAAGGTTAACCGATAACATATGGGCAAAGTGCAATCCTAAGCTATCAGCTTAAACTTTCAGTATTAAGCTATCAACTTAAATAAATTTTTTTACAAGGAAACAAATACAAATTTATATGACCAAAAAGAATAGGAAGAGAGAAGATAGTTTCACGTTATCTAAACCTCTTTTATCTACAAAACTTAATCGCCTCATCGAATATCTAACCCAGCAAATCCAGTTGTATAAACTTTAAAAACTTTACGTATCCAATTTCATGCGTAAAGTTGTGTTTTGGTGTAACAAAGATTGTTTAAGTTGATAGCTTAATCTCTTTGGAAAATTATTGTGTTTCGGTGTAACAAAGATTGTTTAAGTTGATAACTTAATCTACCATAATATTATCTGAGAGCTCAAATACAAAAGAACCTCATCGGTCCTCAAAATGAGGACCTAGCAATTCTGAACATATGGTTATTTTGTTATCTTGTGATGTGAAATCTCAAACCACTTGGGACACGTTTTACATATTTGGAATCAGAATATAAATGAATGGAAAGATGAATTTTCATTTTTTTTATACGACAATATATTTACATACAAGGATGAGGGTATGAACACGAAAACTCCTAAAATTCAATGAGAGAAGAATTACACAAGTGAACTGGGTTGCAATCTATGGGATACATTCTTTACAAGAATTAATCATCTAATGTGATATGCAAAAGTGTCAAAAAAGACCAAAATATGTTGCTTGATCTTGGACCGTAGGACCTTGATATTGATCGAACGGATGTCGCAAATTTTGTAGTGGTATGTGTTAAACCCAAGTGTTTGTCGAATGAGAACTTTGTAAGCTGGGAGGAATTTCGCAAATTTTGTAGTGGTATGTGTTAAACCCAAGTGTTTGTCGAATGAGAACTTTGTAAGCTGGGAGGAATTTCGCATAGCATTAATCAAAGAATAAACAGGCTATATCAGCCTTACAAAACGGAGGAGAAGATAAACATGCAACCCACGTTAAACATTAACCTAAACGTGGTATATGACTAAGTCAAAAGGAAAACAACTTCTACTGATCCCTAAAAGCTAGGGCTTATTCGGTCATGCAGTTAAAACTGCTTACATCAACAACCCTAAGTCTACGTAATGGATAGAGCCACTACGTCCACCAACCTAATAATCTAACATTTCCTCCCTTAAACTGATTGCTATTGCTAAGCAATCAGTTTACACCTGGTTCCAGGCACACTCCCATAAGCCCACGCATCTTCAGAAAAACATCAGTCTTCAAAGGCTTGGTTAATATGTCTGCTACTTGCTCCTGAGTGTTGCAGTGAACCAGTTGCACGATTTTGTTCTTAGTCATTTCACGAAGAAAGTGAAACCGTACATCTATGTGTTTGCTTCGGCCATGCATTACAGGATTCTTGGAGAGCTTTATTGTTGAACTGTTGCCACAGAAAACCGTTGTAGAATCTTGTTGAGCTTGACCTAATTCCTTCATTATTCTCCTCAACCAGGTTGCATGACAAGCACATGAAGCTGCTGCTATGCATTCGGCTTCAGTTGTTGATAACGTGACCACAGGCTGCTTCTTGGAAGACCAACACACAGCTCCTGAACTTAGCATGAACAAGTACCCCGATGTGCTCTTTTTATCATTTAAGTCACATGCATAGTCACTATCTGAATAGCCTCTGAGCTCAGTGTGTCCTCCCTTTTTGTAAAGAATTCCAAGGCTGATCGTGCCCTTCAAGTATCTCAAAACCCTCTTTGCCGCTGCCAAATGCATTTTTGTTGGACTCTCCATGAACCTGCTGATTAAGCTTACCACAAACATAGTGTCCGGCCGAGTGGCTGTGAGATACATGAGGCTCCCCACGATCTGTTTATAGAAAGTGCTATCAACCTTCTCACAAGTTACATCTTTTGTTAGCTTGGTGCCTGGAACAATGGGATTGTGCAATGGATTGCAGTTCTCCATTTTAAACCTTTCCAACACTTCCTGAGCATATTTTTTTTTGACAAATAAATATTCCATCTACCTGCTGCAATACCTCAATTCCGAGGAAATATCTCGTCTTACCAAGATCGGTCATTTCGAACTCATTCATCATCGACTGCTTAAACTTAATGAACATGCATTCATCATTGCCAGTGTAAATGAGATCATCAACGTAAAGACAAACAATGAGAATTTTACCTCCATCTCCACCTTTGATAAATAAAGTGTGTTCATAGGGACACTTCACAAATCCTTCCTTCGAGAAATAAGCTTCTATACGACTATACCAAGCACGAGGGGCTTGTTTAAGTCCATATAAAGCTTTCCGTAATTTGTAAACTTCCTGCTCCTTACCTCTCTGCACATATATCCAGGTGGCTGTTCTACAAACACCTCTTCATCAACTTCTCCGTGTAAGAAGGCACTTTTCACGTCCAACTGATGGATTGTCCATTCCTTTTGAGCAGCAAGTGCAACAACAACTCGGACGGTATCTAACCGAACAAATATTATGGTCATTGCGTATGACAAAAGAAAATGCACAAACATGTTCGAAAGTAGTAACAGAACAAATTAACCAAGACGAAAAAGAAGATACTTTAAATCAGCTCCGCCTTTAGGTAAACTCTAACGTAAAGATCAAGTAGAGATTACGGTCTCAGACCCAGAAGCAAAAGAAAAAGAAGAGACGTAATGTCATAGAGCACGCAAATGACAAATACCGATTAAAGCAACGCAGCTTAAACTCAATAAAATGTGAATTTCTTAAAGTGAAAGATAGATTTGGGGCTCCATACCTTCGGATTTTCGACTTCATTCTATAGCCAGCCTTGTTTCTTTGCTTTACTTAAAATATCACTAAAGTGCAAGTTTTCATCTGTGTTATTTTAAAATAAAATATCCTACATGCTGTCTATAGTTTAGACGACACAGAGTGTACAGAAAACTCCTCAGTTGCCAATATCCTACATGCTGTAGCTTGTTCTTACAAGGTAAGGAAGCTCAAGAAATATAGGAACACTAAACTACCACATTACAAGTAATCCACGTTCCCGACCTTCATAGTCTCGGGTGCTGCATAACTATAAAGCCAGACAACAAGCATTTGAAGCTTAACAATAAAATGACCTCCTCCATGTGTAAGCTTAACAAAAAGGCAAAATCCTGCACTCAAGTTCCTAGATCTCTAGGCTCAAATAAACATCAAAACTAAAGCATTCGAATCAGGTAACAAGTGAACAGGTAGAATAAAGGCCTCATCAATCCTAGCATACATTCATCGGTAACACACACGGACGCAAGCATAAATTCAAGGGGGAAGAAACGATGATATGAAACCTGACCAAAGCAAAATCACAAATTTTACCAGGCCAAAAAATAAGACGCCTAAAGCAGACCAAGTAAAAATTATATTCAATCCTTCTTTTCACCACCCTTTTTCTTTTTAGCTGTAGCCTGCGAATACAAGAAAGTCCCAAAAATTGCAACGGCGGATCCAAGTGCATTAAGAGGTCTAACTGGATTTCTGAACACCAACACAGTCGATATTATTACCACCACTCTCTTCATTGTGTTTCCAACTGAAAAGGTCAAGGGGCTAATTTCATCAAGAGCTTGATACGATGATTGGTTATAGAGATGGTAAAACACTCCAGATAGCAACACCCATAGGTACAATGTGGATGGTTTTCCTACAGCTGCAAGAGCCTTGTGATATCCTTGAACCCATTGAGACCCTTCAAGGAAAATAGCGGTGGGAAACAGATAGAAGAACGAAATTATACTGATCCAACCATACAAGTTCAACCCATCTACTTCCTTGAAGTTCTGTAAACTACGTTTCGAGTAAATGTTCCTCAACACGAACCCGACATTGCTAATCAAAGCACCCCAAAGGCCTTGCACATTGAATGACACCTCAGTAATAGCAGCAAGAGCACAACCCATAACAATAGGGAGGATTGAAAGCCAGACCTGTACAGGGTACGAATCGCCTAGGAACGACGAAAACACTACTGAAAAAACAGGCTCGGACGATTTGATTACATGGGTGAAAGAAACAGCCACCTTAGAGAACGAGACACATGCTGAAATGTGGCCTATAGTGTGGAACAATGCAGGTCCAAGGAGTGCAACAATGAAAGGTTTAGAAATTTTCGGGCGGGGTTGGAGTTTCAAAGACCAAAGAATGAACATCCAAACAGACCCAGCAAAGAGCTGAAAAGATCCAAGAAGCCATGGATATGGAAAGACATTCAGTACCTTCTTGTTGTAGACGTTGAAGACAATGTTCTGGAAGTACCATAGCCCAAAAATAAGCGCGAGCTGGGCGGTGGTGGCCTTGGGCTTTGCGACTGCAGCTTCAGTTTCCCCTCCTGCATTGGATTCAGAAGCAGCTTTTGGGATTTGGGACCTGGGTTTTCTCCCAAACCCAGATGGGAATTCACAGGCTTCGCTCAAATGGCTGATCTTTGAGCTCGAATCTCGAATCTGGC